ATAGAAAATCAGCCTGCATTCATTTACAGTACATGTGCATTTATAATAAAGGGTCTTAGTTGAAAGTGCTGTTTATGCAAATCACACTGTATATACATTCTAATCATGCGTTCAGGGAATACATTGGTGCCATGGAGAGGCACAGAGATAGAGAGATCAAGGCGAGTGAGGTGGAGGAAACTTTTTTTAGAAGAACAAATTGTATAGCTGCCAAACCTTCACGGTTGTTAGTCGCATATAGAAAACACCCATTTTGAGGATGAGGATATTATTATAAGAAGATGATTTTTTTTTTTAACAAGATTAGCAGTATTTGTGCTTCGTGAAAGTGTGTCATCAATAAAATGTTTCTCATCACGGAAACGACTGCCATTCATCTCAGTCACACTTAATTATTTTGTACATTAGGCAGCTGCGTTTAATGTGGTTTCACACCAGTGGGCGGCTGACATTTTTCCCAAAGTAAGTGGTCCGAAGACTACAAAAGCCTTAATTAACATCTTAATGCCACACACACAACCACCACACAAACACACAGAAACACACACCCCGAAGCAACCGGGGTAAGATGCACCGATAAGAGAAAAAACAATAGGCCTTGCACAGCCAGTGTCTCCAGTGAGACAGAAGAAAATCATCTTGTGCATGGGGATGTGATCGACAGTCGCCCTCGCAGGGTCGTAAGGTCAAAAGATGTCACCTGCTGCTCCGCGGCTGCAGCGCTGAACTGTCACAAGATGGAAATAAGATCCATTTACAGCCGTGCTCCGGAGAGGACCTCTGGGACTTTCCAAGATGCTGGGAGCAGAACAACCTCCATCCACAGCAGGAAACTAGGAGTCATTCACTGCTCCATTTACTTTAAAGTGGAATATCAAATATAATATGATGTTCCAGTGAAGCAAACAATAGAAAGCCTGTGTTGTACCATTGTCCCATTTCAGCACGGACCATTTCCCCTCTATAGGTTGCAATGGCATCAACGAGTAATCTTGGTACAGTCACCTTAATGGTGATTCTCGTAACAAAAATGATATTACGTGGTGCGGCATGTGGCGAGCGCAGCCTTGTTGCGGTGCCAAATTCTGCCATCTGTGGACCAATAAGTTTCACAGCAGAGTGATGGTGAGCTGACACAAGTAAGACTCTGAGCCAACACTAAACTTGGAATAGGTGACTTGTGTTGCTGGTTGTACGAGAACAGGAGGAATCTGAAATCAATTAGTTTTTAAAGGCACGCAAATCTAAAAAAAAATCAGTCATGTTAAGTGGCACTCAGCCGCACAGCTCTGTCTGTCTAATGACTGGGTTCCTCCCTTTAATCAATCACATTTCATACCACATAATCACAATGACATGCCCTCTGTCAGAGGTCAGTGTGTTTGAAGCGTGTTCTGTTTCTCCCCGACCAGTGGACTGGTACCGATGCTGCGTCAGCACAGTTTACTAATGTTGGAGCTGCTGAGGTCGGGGAGATTAATTAGAGCTAGTCCTGACTGCTGAAGCGTTGATGTAACTGTGGACTTTTCTCTACAATGACATGCAGAGGTGAAAAATAAATTAATCTATAGCGTATTTAGCGAAGTACACTTGTTGAGTAAAAGTTTGAAGGACATGTTCCTGATGTCACTTGTTCATTTCTGTATTGTGATTGATTTGTTCCGTGTCTTTTTGTATTTCTTAGTTGGTTTGATTTGCTTTCCTGTTCTCCTTTTCTCTCTCCCCTTTACCCTCACCCCAGCCAGTCGAGGCAAATGGCTGCTCTCCCTGAGCCGGGTTCTGCCAGAGGTTTAAAGAAAGTTTTTCTTCTCAATCTTGTCAAAGTGCTGATCAAAATCTATTCACTTTTTGAGCTTCTCTCTATAACATAATACTATAAGGTTGCTACGCTAACATGTAAAGTGCCTTGTGATGACATGTGTTGTGAATTGTCACTACATGAATCAATACAAATTGAACTGACCATATTATTTTACAATTAGAGTTACTAGTTAAATTGCAAATTTATATACAAACCATTTTTGGACTTGTGACTCCTTTATACTGAATAAAATATCATGTTCAGGACTGTTGTTCTGTTCCAGATCTCTATGTGTTGTTAGAAATCCCACCACAGAGATATTTCACATCTACATTTCTCAGATGGTTTCAATTTAATAAGTGTTTAGAGTCCCAAAGAAAGTCTAACATCTACTATTTCACAAGACAGCAAAAATTCTGTTCAAAGTCCAAACGTGTGAAGTTTATTTTTTCTTGTTGCCCGCCTCATTAGTAACCATCCTTCTGATTCAGCTAATGGCCCTCTGGAGAGAACCCAACATCTACATTTGCAACCACTGGACTACACCGCTTAAAGACTTCCTCCAATGACTGTCATGGTTTGTTTTTTTCTACCTTTAAACGTCCATATGTTGTTGTTATTTTTAATAGCTAGAAGTCACATCATGAGTAAAATAAGCAGTCAGCACCATAAGCTCATTCCCACCTTGCAGCTGCAGTACACCAATGACAGTCTTGATAAAATGGGTTCACAAATTTGCAATTTGTCAATTAGCTGGTGGGGACATATAAAGCTATTTTAAGGCAGGAAAGGATTTTTTTCATTAATAAAAACGTTGTAAATATCTGACTTTGATACATAGCATTGACAAGGGGTTTTATGGGTTTAATCAACAACAGCAAAAGGACTTAAACTGTAAATAACTGTTTGTAAAGTAAGTCAAAGTCATCCAGCTAGAACAATGAAACTACTTCCACTGATTCATCTGTATTGATGGTCTAGTAGTGTAACATTACAGAGGGCATTTCTGCGCCAAATGAAATGACTGTCCCTCTGTCAAACAAGTACATTTGACTGCTTGTACTAGTGTTTTAGTACTTCAGATTGGCCTTGGCACACTTACAATTTCTTGGTCTTCTCTCAGAATCTACTGCATTTTTACTCTCTCTTGTTTCGGTGAAGAGGACTCAGGATTTCATTGGAAATTTTTGTTGCTTAGCTTTCACTCTTCTCCCTCCTTCACATGCACTTCAAGATAATAAATGTGGGAGACCGAAGTAGAGACTGAGGCTGTCTGGCCAAATCTTCTGCAATAAAAACCTGCTACCTAAACCACAAAGAGCTAATCTGTAAAACATTGTCTAAAAGAAAACAAACAGGAGGATGTAAATTCTGTAATGTGATGTTTACTGCGATGACACGGACAACATCAAGACTTTTATAAGCGCTTAAGGCCAAATCTTAGTTTTCACGTCCCAGCGTACAGTTATTGTGGACTTTTAAAACAGCGGATGGACACGTGGTTCTGTTCATACTGGGGTGCGTGTCAGGCTGCTATGCAGATGGTCACTTTGCCCTCTGGTCTCCAGTGAATGTTTCTGAAAGATTGGCTGTGACTTTGCACTTTGAATGTAGCAGTTAGTTATAGAATGGGCTGCAGCACTGTGTCAATGTGATTATTCCTGAGGTGTGCCGAGCTTAGTGGGCAGACATGGAGCAGGATTTCTGGAGAATTCAGACTTTTACTATTTTGCTTGGGCCCCTGTAGATGGAAAATATGTAGCTGCACATGAAAGCACCTTCAAGTTCCTGTAGCAACAACTTCAATTACTAACTCTTTTAATGATGAACAACAAAGATGTGGCTGATGGAGAATTTCTCACTTTGTAACAAGCATATGTTTTGAGCAACATTTGCTTTCTGGCACATCCAGCCTGCAGTGCGTGCAGTCCGCAGAGGGAGTCATGCAGATCCTTGCAGAACTTGGTAGGTGATACCATTTACATCGCACATAATCTCTTCCAGACACGAATGTGAAAAGCATGATTTGGCCTTCCTCAGAAAGAAAACATAAAGAAAGCAAAGCAAAACATGAGTGATGATAGTAAAGCTTGCCAGCTATAAATATTAGCTTCCTATATACTGAATGTCTCAGAGCACTAGTTTCAGTGGTGCAATGCATGTTCCACATTTTACAGCGCATGTGTCATGAGGCGTCAGAATAAACTGGTCCTGGTCTGGACTCGGCCTCACTGTGTCTTGTGTTGACAGTCTTGACTTGATCTTAACCTCTAAAAAGCTTGGTCTTATGCCAGTCTCAGTACACTCTGGTCTTGCCCATGACTTGGGCGTAGCTTAGGTTGTCTTGACCCACCAGATGTAGATCGTGGGTATAATCCTGCCTTTGGCCACACATTTCACATTACTTTTTCCTCTCTTTTCGCCATCGTACTGCTTTCTGAATCCCCTTCCCTATGGGAATCAACAACAGCCACCTCCGGAAAGCAACCTACCACACTGAACATTTCATTTTTTGCTGAAGGTTTGGGTTGTGAAATGATGCAGCACCGCTTGTTTTTGTTTCTTTTATCTTTTGGTTGAATTATCCATTTTAATGACAGTGCTCGACTCACTGCATGCAAATGTTCCACCAAAACAATCCCTCATCGTTATTTTGCGGGGATACCATCGACCCTTTCTGAGTTCAGCGCCGCCTGTGATTGCTTTGATGAAATGCCAACAAGCCACAGCCTGTTTTTCTCCTGTAGCAGAATCACAGTGAAGTGCAGTCAGACCATTCTGCACAGTGCTGTGTTAGTGCAAGAGACGTGATCGTGACAACCCGCTAGCTTATGCTAATATATGTCAGTGCTTATAATTGTAAGTGAGAGAGTTTCACTTGTAAATATATTTTTCCACAGCTGTAATTTTACTGATGCAATAGCCTGTTATAATGTCCTCATTAGTAACTGTCATGCAACACAAAATTCTCAATTCAGCAAGACTGCACATAATATTTGCACAGATTTTCATGATATTTGCACACATTGTCCTTCTCGCTACCGCACCGAAGTGTGTTTTTCCAGTTAACCCACAATGTTTATTAAGGCTCTCTGATTATTAAAGCATATTAGCGTGGCAGCGAATGTGACTGGAAGCTACAGTGTATCTGTTAGTGAGGCTTGTGTGTGTGTGTGTGTGTGTGTGTGTGTAAACTCACCAGCTTGCGTTGACACCAACCACAGACGCCACAAAGAGCCACCAGCCAAACAGCACACACTGTCACTGCGAGGGAGACCAGGAACACACTGAGGGACACGGAGCCTGTGCACACAAACACACACACACAGATACATACGTACACGGGGAAGGCAAGAAAGAGAAGGAAAACAACAGAGTGACGCTTTATTTTATTTTTGTTGCATACATGGAGATATTTTCTTCACCGTGTGTAAAGTAAAAACATGAGATCATAGCCACAGAGCTGATTGCATGCCATGGTGAATCATGTTGTCGGAGGGATGGGGTGGAGGGGGGCAAACCCAAAATAAAGCCGGGCCTTCTCCCTTCACGTTTAATTGAATAGCCAAGCAGAGCTGCCATTTTTACATTCTGTCACAAGAAGCTGAGAAATACAATCTCATCACTACCCCCTTCGTGCCGGAGCATTTCAATACCTTCTCAATAAGGACTGCAGCCAGGCATCACTCAGTGGCACACACATCACTGTCATGGTGTCACAGCTTGTTAACTGACAGGCTGAAAGTGGAGTGGGGGGGAGGAGGGAGGGTTGTTGGCGGTGGAGGGGGGAGAGAGAGGCTGGGCTGACAATACAAGAGAGCTCATGATTAATGGGTATCAGTAGATGCCCAGTGAGAGAGGTGGCTCTGGATGAGAGTCATAAAAAAAACATCATCTATCGCGTGTGTTTCGGTCCCTGTGTTTGTGTGTGAGAGACGGAGAGGATTCACACATTCTGTTTTAGATCGCACGTTCTCCACATTTAAACAATCGGATGGCCTTCCCTTTAGAGGACAAGGATGTACAGCCTCATTGAGATGGAGCTTTGATATTTGACACAGTGGGAAGGATGATAATGTATTCAAATCTCCTTCTAACAATTCTGATTCCTAAATAAACAGCGATAAATAGATGTCAGAATACATCTTCACATCGCTCGGCGACAAACACTGACAAACAGACGTGCTTTCCTTTCGATAACTGGGTTCGTCTTCTTTCCCAACTGCTGCCTGCCTTCCTTCCTTTGTTTGTCACAACTGGCCTTTTTTATCTAACTTCTATTTCGTATCTTTGACTTATTCTCCTCCTCATCGTCTCCTGTGGGAACGCATGAGCTCAGAAAGGAGGAACAGTTGAAGGTAAAGTTGTTTCATATGGAAAATCAGTATGGGATCAGTGCTGCCGTTCCACAGGTTTCCCTCAGCCTTAACTGCTGCCTTGAAGTCAATGTGACACCTGAGGCCACTTTAGAAAAGAGAGCGTGCACACAGAACAGTTAGGACCGTTGACAACAAACATAATGATTAGTTTCTGGCAGAGTCCTTTAAAAAAAAAAATCCTTGACAACTCAAATTACTACACAAGTTATGCCACAAATGGTTCTTTTGTACTACCAAAGAACTATTTAGTCTGTGCACTAAAAATTTTTGAAAATGGAAAAGAAAGTAAGAAAAAAAAGCAGGCTCTCTGATGGCACCACAGACTGTATACTCTGCAGGGAGATCTGTGAGACTTCTGGAAAGGATGAAATGTCTTGGTAATGTTACTTCTGTGAGTGTTTTTATTCTTTTAGGATTACTTTGTTGGTATTTTGCCTTGAGGTGCAGTAAAGACAGGCAACAGAGGTGGGAAATAACGTGCAGTAAAGGTTCAGCAAGCTGGGAATCAAACCAGAGACTCACTGCTGACGGCATTTGTGCACACATGGTGTGCACCTGAACCGCTTGTATCAGGCCACACACTTCTCTGAAATGTTTATGCTGTGCGTCCTAATTTCAGTCACAAAAAATATGTGCGCAACAATCATGCAAACAACTTAAAATATGCAGTACATGGTGTTGCCAGCTTCTTCTGTTCACCAGCTAATGGCTGGTTTATGCAATCCACCTCAGACGCTCATTAGAAGCCAATCATTAATATTATTTATTATTATTCAAACGTTGATTGGCACCATATTTGCAAGAGAGATGCAGTTTCTGATTGATCTAGCGAGACAACTAAGATTCCCCTGACACCACTGTAGCTGCCATAGTTAGGACCAGTCTTAATCCTCATGTCCATAGCAACCCAGCAAGTGGTTCTAAAGGAGCTGACTGTCCTTTGGGAAGAATGGACAGAGGAGGCCAAAGAAAACTAGAAAGCTGGGTATGCGGATTTGCTCGCTAAGTGTCGGAGGAAACCCTGCTGTGAATCAGAGGAAGTGGACTGGAGGGACACTATCTGCACCGGGTCCTGGGATTCTTGGGGGTTAGCGGGCTGCAAAGAAGAAGAGCCATGAGGAGCCTCTTAGAAAACACTGAAAAGGTTTGCCACTTGTTCTGGCTGAAGGGGGGTAAAGCATGGTGCAATGCTCCACCTGGTCACACAGTTTGATCATTTCAAATCATCTGATGTTAAGAGCAGAAACACGCGATGACCTCAGGTTCATCTCTGACAATGTGACCAGGTGGCACCATAAGGAGTATCAAAGAACTGCTAAATTCTTTATCTGTTTCCTGTGATTCACACCTACTCACGGGGATTAAAATTATATTTAAAGCATATGTGTTGCTGGTAGCAAACTCTGAGATATGTACTTGCACCTGTAAGACCAGCTGGTGATTTGATGTGACCCAGCAGTAATCTATGGAGTTTTCCAATAAACAAGTTTCCGCTCGCATTCACTGTTTCTCACCAAAACGAATTATGTGGAACCTTGACTTCTGACCTGTTAAATGCATTTCCCTCCACTTCAAGCTATTTACAAAAAAAATGTAAACCTGCGCTGCATATAAATGTATAAAACTGAGTAAGTACAGTTTATTTATACAGCACCTTTCCAGGATAAAAATCACAAAGTGCTTCTCAATAAAATAAAATACAATAAAACAAACATGAATGAGAGTGTTAGGGGGGGTAAAAAAAACATAGCCATAAAAGCCCGACTCTAACTAAAAGCTTGTCTGAATAAAAAAGTACTCAGCTGTTTTATTTAACGGAGTCAGTGAAAATCAATGCGATGTAAAGACAAGCGAAGCGCATTCTGTAGTCGAGGTGCCACCGCTTGAAAGGATCGATCCCCTGGGTGTTCAAATCTGGGGAACCACCCGCAGTCTCTGGTCAGATGAGCTAATGATGCTTCAAGTAGAGGAACGGGGCTTTAAGGTCTGAGATATACTGGGGAACGTGTCCATGCAGAGCCCTAAAAGTTAGCACCAGGGCTTTGAAAATGAATTTTAAAAATAACTGACAATCAATAAAAGACAATAAACCTTCCATTGGTTTCAGTTAAGAGCCTTGTAGCAACGTTCAGTACAGTCTGAAGGCAGCTATGTGCTGCTTAGTTGATCTTTCTAGGAGGTTTTCTGCCTCCTTGTCCTTTCTGCCACCTGTAGATGGTGGAGAAGTGTGAAGCCAAAGAGCAAACAAAACCTGAAGACACTCATAAAATTGACTCCATGAGGCTACTAGGGGTCAAAAACTCCACAAGGTACCTTCGACAGATCCAGATGCTTGCAGAGCTTTCTGTGGATTTTCAGGATAATAAGATAGAGATAAAGGGCATGTGTGTTAGCGCCAGCAGGAATTGAACTTTGCTCTCTGTGGTTGATGGAAACCTGCTCTTGTAGCTTTATCACCGAACCGATAAGAATCCTAAATATCTTAAACATTAAACGCTACATGAGTTTATCTCCTGACAACAGCGACTGACCCAGACTGGAAAAAAATACTCGATCCGACTTCAGTGATCTTGTTTTGATTGTAAAGATATAGATATAATCAGCATTATAGTCATTACAAGTGTCCCCCCATTATTTATCTATCTATCTTTATCTGCAGTGAGGGAGACTGCTGATGGTAAAGAGGCACAGGCATGCCCCCCTGAGGATGAGAGGGTCAGTGAAACACAGTCATCTCCTGAATGATGACTATCTCTATTCATAGACACTCAGAAATAGACACTACATACTCCGCTACTGTATATTCATAGTCAGGTCAATAAAGCTGAGTCCATTAGATGCCATGACATTAAAAAGGGTAGCAATGGATCTTAAATAAGGAGAGTTGAACTGGTCTCCAGCTAAGGGCATCTGGTAGCATCAGTGCTAAATGGCTCTGTGATGGATGTTTTGATCTGTGGAGAGTCAGGTGGATCTGTGAGAGCCAGCAGCTGATGTAGGGTCCTACGTCCTGTGTGCTCTCTGAAGGTCGGACGAAGGGGGGGGGGAGTAAAAAGCTTCCAACTAAAATGCAGCATCTAATGAAACCGTGCCACTGCACTCAGTAATGGACAGCAGGACTCGCACTTCATGGGTTGTATGTTCCTTTTTAGAAACTACAGAGAGCTATAGCGTGCAGGCTGTGCAGAGGAATAAAAGGAAGGAAATACACCGTGTTCGAGTATTAGAGAGATATGCAAATCTCCAGTACTTTGGCTGTGGAGAACAAGAGCCATCATTAGAGTAGGAAACGCTGGCGCGACATACAGCTATCCCAGCATTCGGGAGATTCAATTTATCTTTTTCTATGAACGCAACAAAACTTTTGGTTTGAAATAACATTAGCAAGGTGAAAGATAAAACAGGGTTTGTGTGCCGAAACTGAAAGAAAAATTCCATTCGAGAACAGCTAATGTGACAGGAAAAAAATCTTTACAATATTTAACCATGTGATGAAACAAAAGATGCTTTCACATGGAGGGTGGTGAATCACATCTAATGGCACCACTCAGTAAAGCTGACAAGTGAGCTGAACAAGCCATTGAACCCTTTGATCAGAAGCCTTTAGAAGTCAGAGCACTCTTGAACTTGAAAGTCGCTTGTTTGTTTTAGATTTCAGTGGCTATCTCTGTTATATGCACATAAAAGGGGAAATAAATGGCACCATGTAGTGGTGTGAGTGTGACAGTGATGTTGCAAATGAGCTTGCAATAAACCCTTCCGCTAAAGAGAACAACAAAGACCGAATCACACAGGCGATTAAATATAGGCGTTTAACAAGTAAGGAAAAGTAGAAAATATCAAAGTCCAGAGCCTTCAGTATGGAGTGCATAGCAGCAGTGAGTACAACAAGCATTGCTGTGGTTACACAGAGTGATGCTGCAC